GTCGGCTGCTACGTCGGGTACTCGGCGGTCCGCCTGGGCGCCACTGTGCGGCGGTGGGGCGGGCGCGTGGTCCTCACAGGGCGCTGAAAAACACCACTCACCAGGAGGAGGAGGAGGAGGAGGAGGAGGACGAGGAGGAGGAGGAGGAGAAGGAGGACGACGAGGACGAGGACCAGGACGAAGAGGAGGAACAGGAGGAGGAGGAGGAGGAGGAGGAGGGGGAGGAGCAGGAGTTGGAGCAGGAGCAGGAGCAGGAGCAGGAACAGAAGCAGGAGCAGGAGCAGGAGCAAGAGGCGGAGGCGGAGGCGGAGGCGGGGGCGGAGGTGGACGGGACGAGATGGCGGAGAAGGGGGAGGAGGACAAGGAGGAGGAGGAGGAAGAGGAGGAGGAGCATGAGGAGCAGGAGGAGCAGGTGGAGCAGGAGGAAGAGGAGGAGGTGGAGGTGGAGATGGAGGCGGAGGCGGAGGCGGACGAAACGGCGGAGAAGGGGGAGGAGCAGGAGGAGGAGGAGGAGGAGGAGGACGACGGCGACGACGACGACGAGCAGGAGGGGGAGGGGGATAGGTGGAGAAGGGGGAGCATGAGGAAGAGGAAGGAGGAGAAAGAGGGCCAGTGTATTTAAAACCAAGACGCGTCAAAGATGCTGTAACAACCCCTCTCACCAAGTTCCCTTCACAGGTCCCTACAATGATATATGCTGATTGCGGGAGCTGCCCCGTTGAAAGACAACCATCTGAGAATCCTCACTCGTGCCAATGCACAATTCCTGAAATTTCAACGCCGCGAATCAACGCGATTGTTGCGCCCTGGCAATCCTAAACCATGCCAGAGACCCATGCCTGGGATCCAACACCGCCGATCAACGTGACCGCTGCGTCCTGACAACCCTAACTGTGCCAGAACACCACTTCTGGGACCTCGACCCTACGAACCTTTCGAACTGGTGCAAACTTTTAGACGATTGGGGGCGGCGCTAAGACCAGGGCCACATTTTGAAAAGGAGCCGCTCTCCATCTTTGAAACTGCTGCAGGCGTTGAAGACGAATGCGCGCAGCGCTAAGCCGACAGACACATGTTGATCACCACCCACCCAGTATCATTGACACTCTTGCTAACTTTAAACGATTGCGCGCGGCGCGAAGTGGCGAGAGCTTTCTATTGAACACCACCCGCCCTCCATCCAAACTGTTCAAAGCGAATGTACACGGCGCCATGGCGAGTTCCACATGTTGGAACCAGCCGCCTTCCATATTTAAATTTCTTGCACACTTCTCAAGCGGATGCGCGCGTCGCCAAGGCGAGTTCCACTTGTTGGAAACCGCCCGTTCTCATTGAAGGTGTTGCAGGCTGTTTAAACAAATGCGCGCGGCGCCAATGCGAGAGCAACATGTTGAAAAAACCATCGGACTTCTATATTTGAAAGTGTTGCAACATTCAAGCTTCAGGATCGCACATGGCGAGGAACTCTCAGGCGAAACGCCCGCCCCGCCCTAATGACACGTCCAGGGGTGCGATAGGGAGGAGCTTATACTATAAGGACAAACATTGGAGGAGGAGGAGGGAAAGGAGGAAGAGGAGGAGGATAATAAGGAGGAGGCGGAGGCGGAGGCGGTGGCAGTGGCGGATACGGATGGAAAGGGCCTGGAGGATGATGAGGCGGAGGAGGAGGAGGAGCGTGGGAGACGGAAGAACAGGAAACTGTGGTGAGGAGGAGAATTTAATCGAGGAGGGAAAGGAGGAGGAGGAGGAGAAGGCGGAGAAGGAACATGAGGATGTGGATGATACGTGGGACAAGTGGAGTACGAACGGCGGAAGCGACACGTATCGTAGATTGTTTTTGTCGTGTGATATTGTGTTCAATTGATCGGTCGGATCTGTCATACCTCGATATTGCGTTCCAGCCGCCCCCCGCTTCCCGATGAAGTGCAACCCTTCCTCGCACGATTGCTCCCCAGCCTTCCGCACAGGAGCTGATCCCATCACTGCAGTCGGTGATGTACGCCCCTGTACTTTCGTGAACGAGTGTTCCTAGCGGAGTTAGTTAGATGCCGTCGGGCTCGATCATCGCCTCCCACTTCTCGCAGCCGTTTTCCCGCAGCGCCAGGGTCTGCGGGGTGCATTCCCCCCATCCACGGCCACTGCACGCCCCCCTTCTCGCACGGGCTGCTCCCAGCGTTGTAGTTGATCGTGGCCCACCCGCGCGTTTCGCTCAGCACCAGCATCCGCTGCCACTGCGCTCGCTCCCTTTCTCGCACGGACTGCTCCCAGCGTTGTAGCTGATCGTGGCCCACCCGCGCATTTCTCTCTGCACCTGCGTCCGCTGCCACTGCTCGCTCCCTTTCTCGCACGGACTGCTCCAAGCGTTGCAGCTGGTCGTGGCCCACCCGCGCATTTCGCTCTGCACCAGCGTCCGCTGCCACTGCGCTCGCCCTTTCTCGCACGGACTGCTCCCAGCGTTGTAGCTGGTCGTGGCCCACCCGCGCGCTTCGCTCAGCACCAGCGTCTGCTGCCACTGCGCTCGTCCTTTCTCGCACGGACTGCTCCCAACATCGTAGCTGATCGCCCACCCGCACTTTTTGCTCAGCACCAGCGTCCGCTGCCACTGCGCTCGTCCTTTCTCGCACGGACTGCTCCCAGCGTTGTAGCTGATCGTGGCATGCCCGCCCGTTTCTCTCAGCGCCAGCGTCTGCTGCCATTGCTCGCTCCCTTTCTCGCACGGACTGCTCCCAACGTTGTAGCTGATCGCCCACCCGCACGTTTTGCTCAGTGCCAGCGTCCGCTGCCACTGCTCGCTCCCTTTGTCGCACGGTTCGCCCCCAGCACTGTAGCTGATCGTGGCCCCCACGCACGCTTATTTCAGCCTGCCTCCAGCATCTCGCGTTCCAGCCAGAGCCTGCTGCCACTGCTCGCCCTTCTCGCACGCGCTGGCTTCAACGCTGTAGCTCAGGACGTCAGGTTCTAGCTTCGTCTCCGTGTCTCGAGTCTAGCCAGCGCCTGCTGCCATTGCCCGTTGTTCTCGCACGCTCTTTCGGCGTTGTAGCTGAGCACGTCGGGCAATTTCTCTACTCTCGCCCGCTCACGGAGCCTGACCAGAGTCTGTTGCCACTGCTCGCTCTTCTCACACACGCTGATTTCAGCAATGTAGCTGATGAAGGCGTTGGGGTTCTGCGCGTTGTTGCCGGTGTGCTGTGCAGCGACACCCGTGCTCGCCAGGAGGAGGAGGAGGAGCAAAGAGGGGGCGCGGGAAAGGAGAGGACGAGAGGAGAGGAGGACATCCTGACCCCTCTGCATGAGCCTATTCACGGCTAGCTGCCGTTTCTTGATGGTCCATGGTTCCTGATGGTTCCCCGATGCATCGCCGCTCCGAAGTTAGCATCGGGAGCGCCCGGGCCGGCCCACGCAGGGAGTGGCCGCTCGGGTGCGGAACGGCTAGGAGGAGGAGGAGGAGGGAGGAGGAGGAGGAGGAGGAGGAGGAGGAGGAGGAGGAAGAGAGGGGGAGGAGGAGGAGGAGAGGGAGGAGGAGGAGGAGGAGGAGGAGGACAACGAGGAGGAGGACGAGGAGGAGGACTAGGAGCAGTGATGGAGGGCAATGAGGAGGAAAGTAAAGATGAGAAGGGGGAGGTGGAAGGGAGGAGGAGGTGGAGGAGGAGCAGTGATGGAGGGCAAGGAGGAGGAAAGTAAAGATGAGCTGGAGGAGGTGGAAGGGGAGGAGGAGGAGGAGGAGGAGGAGGAGGAGGAGGAGGAGCAGTGATGGATGGCAAGGAGGAGGAAAGTAACGATGAGAAGGAGGTGGCGGAGGGGAGGAGGAGGAGGAGGAGGAAAAGGAGGAGGAGCAGTGGAAACACAAGAGTCATCAACGATGTTGGAATTAACCCTCCCTCCAATCTCCCTCTTCATAGGCCCCTGCAGCGGTTCATTTCCATTCAGAGAACTGCCTCGCTGGAAGAAACAATTACACGATCCTGAAGCGTGCCAAAACATTGTTCCCGGGATTTCAACGCCGTGCATCAACCTGACTGTTGCGTCTTGACGACCCAGAATCGCGCCAAAACTTCATTCTTGGGACTTCGACGCAGCGAATCAACATAATTGTTGCGCCCGCATAATCTTGAATCTTTCCAAAACATCATTTAAGGTGCGTTGATCATGGGAGTCTGTTGCAAATATTAAAATAGGATCTGCGCTTCGCTAAGGCGAGAGCCACATTTTGAAAACCACCCGCCCTCAATCCTCGAAGTTCTTTCAATTTTGCACAACGAATGTGCGCGGCGCTAATGCGAGAGCCACATTTTGAAAACGACCCACCCTCAATCCTCGAACCTCTTTCAATGTTATATAACGAATGCGCGCGGCGCCAAGGCGAGAACCACATTTTGAAAACCACCCGCCCGCAATCCGTGAAGCTTGTGCATTTTTTGACACATGTGCGTGGCGCTAAAGCGAGAGCCACATTTTGAAAACCACCCGCCCTCAATCCGTGAAACTCTTGCAAATGTTTAGAGCCAGTGTGCGCGGCGCTAAGGTGAGAGCCACATTGTGAAAACGACCCGCCCTCAATCCGTGAAACTGTTGTCACTTTTAAAGCTTCAGACTCGTAGGCGGTGAGGAAGTCTCAGGCGAAACGCCCGGCCCCCCCTAATAATTGGCCTCGGGGTGCGACAGGGGGACTTCTATAAGGAGAAAGAATGGAGGCCATCTGTGGCCCCCACTGCGCTTCGGCCCCCCGCGACAAGCGGCCGTGGGACCGGCCCCCGGGGTGCTCCGCCACAGATCGGCGGCGCGCGAGCCCTTCTGATGGGCTCCCCGCGGTTTGGGTCCACCTCGCCGCGGCGCGACACGTCCACGTCCCGAGCCTCTCCGAGCTTTCCGCCCCGCGGAGGCGCAGCCGGTTCTGGCCCACCACGCCGCGGCGCGAGCCGAAGTCGGACATGTTTGCCTGGTATTCTCCGTCATCCGAGTGAACACCGACGCGGCTACCCGGCGACCTGCCCCGTCGTCACCCACGAGTCGAGCGAGATCACTGACTGGGAGTGTCTCGCCACTCTTGACTCCAGATGCGCCCTATTTTGGGGCAATTTTGCA